CGCTTTGTGCTGCAGACTACTTGCTACTGGCTTGGCGTGGTAAAGTGTCCTACCGTGGAGGATGAAATAAGGCAGCCCTCCCCAGAAACCTTCTGCAAAGGCTTTCAGAGTACCTCCAGGAGAGCTTCATGGAGATGTCCCTGGAGGATTCCCGCTCCATCCCCAGACACGTTAACAGACTTTTCCAGTAGCTGTACTGGCCATGAATGCATCCCAAGTTCTCAGGGCAAATCAAACATTAAACACAATTGCTTTTAACCACTGTAGTGTAGTTACAAATGTGCACTCACCAGAGGTGTCTTCTCTGCCTTCAGGGTCCTGGAACCCGCCTTGGGAGGGTATTGGCTCCAGGGTGGTGAAAACATCCTGGCTGCCGGGGAAAACAGATTCTCCACTTCCTTGCTGCACATTGTCCTCCTCCTCCTCCTCTTCCTCAGCCTCAAAATCCTCCTCCCCTGTTGCGTGAGACTCCCCCTTGCAGGTGTCCATGGACAGTGGTGGGGTAGTGGTAGGGTCCCCCCTAGAATGCCATGCAGGTGATCATAGAAGTGGCATGTCTGGGGCTCTGAACCAGAGCGACCGTTTGCCCCCTTAGTCTTGTGGTAGGCTTGCCTGAGCTCCTTAACTTTCACACGGCACTGCTGTGTGTCCCTGCTGTAGCCTCTCTCCATCATGCCCTGTGCGATTTTAGCATATATATCAGCATTTCTTCTTTTTGATTGGAGTTCGGCCTGCACAGATCCTTCTCCCCACACAGCGATCAGATCCAGTGTCTCCCGTTCGCTCCATGCTGGCGCTCGTTTGCGATTCTGGGGGGACTGCATGGTCACCTGTGCTGCTGAGCTCGCCACGCTGACCAAACAGGACATGAAATTCAAAAGTTCCCCGGGCTTTTCCTGTCTACCTGGCTAGTGCATCGGAGTGGAAAGTGCTGTCCAGAGCGGTCACATTGGAGCACTCTGGGATAGCTCCCGGAGGCCAATGCCGTCGAATTGCTTCCACACTACCCCAAATTTGACCCAGCAAGGTCGATTTTAGTGCTACTCCCTGAGCTGGCTTTAAGAGCCCTTTAGGTGGACAGAACGGGGCTGGGTGTGTAGCTGCATTGCTTATAACATGGACCTAAGGCGGCTAAATTCCAGCTAATCTCGTAGCGTAGCCCAGGGCTCATCAGTCAGTCATGACTCCCTGGAGCACTGAGCTCCGGTCTACACACAGCTTTTGAGGAAGACACACAAGAGACGTTTATAACGACTGGTGGGGGAATATCCCCCCCACCCCAGGCCTTTGAACAACAAAATGTTGCCACTATTCGCATGGACCTGCAGAATGCTGAACGGTGCTTCTGCAGCGCGTTTCCATCCCCCGCGCTGTCCCCATGGGTCTGTCACCCTCTATCCATAGGCAGCCTGTCCCGCTCCGTCTGCAAGAGACAAAGCTGGGAGCTGGACCCCCTTCCAGACCCAGCTACTTAAACTGAGACTCAGCCCCCACTATTGGCTGAGTCCCCCCAGCCCTGCCACACCAGACCCCCCTTCGTCCCGTTGCTGTGGGGTCTCGAGCCCAGACCAGCCCCCTCTTGTCAGACTCTCGTGTGTGGGGGGTGGGTTTGTCTCCTGTCAGCTGATGTGGGATGTTTGTTGTCACCGCTTCCCTCTCCGTTTCCACAGGGCCCGGGGGCAGGTTGTTCTGACCCAGTCGGGTCCCGAAGCGAAGCAGCCCAGAGAATCCATCCCGCTGAAATGCGCCGGGAGCGGGGTTAATCCCAAGGACAACCCGCTCCTCTCACACCCTCTGGGGGGATTCATACCAAGGCCAGCTCCAGCGGCTCCCTGCACATCCCGGGCGTAGACCGGAGAACATTGCACTGTGTCGCTGTGTGAGGAGACACACACCGTGGGTGAGCCAGGCTGCAGAGACCCGCTGCGGACTCGCCCTTCTCCCATTCTCCACGTGGGGGCAGTGGTGACACACCCAGCACGGCTGTGGGGACCAGACTGAGAACGTGCCCCAGGGTGGAAGCGCATCTGACTCCAGCTTCTCACTCCCCCGTTCCCTGGAAACGCCCCGCACTGATGCACAAACACTGGAGCAGAGCAGAGCCCCGCCTGCCTCTGGCCAACCACTCGTCTCCTTGCAAATCTCGAGGAAACTCCGGGGAGTGAAGCAAATCAGGACTGTTTTGTATGGTGAAAGCTACCGGGAAATATTTCCCACCAGACAGAGCCCAGATTAGTGAAGCTGCCGCTTCTGGGAAAGGGGGCTGGGCCGGGGCTTCAGTTACAGCTACTGCCCAGCGCCCCGGGCGTTATTCTGTCTCCAGGGGTGTCCCAGCCCAATGGAACCCTGTGACCCGACCCCTGCCCTGCAGGGCCGGCTTTAGGCTGATTCAGCCGATTTGGCTGAATCGGGCCCCGCACCAAGAGGGCCCCGCACTGCAGCTGTCCGCCCCGCCCCCAGCTCACTTCCCCCTCCTCCCCT